TTTCTGATAGCATTTTTGTTTCAAAAAATGACTCTTTCTCGATAATTAGGTGTTTCTTCATCATTGTTTTCCAGCAACAGTTCCTTGGAGTAAGATCCGTAGAATCACTATTTTGATCCAATACCTTTTGTCGACTCTCGGCCAAGAGATTGATTCCACTTGTCCAAGTTGGCTTTGACGTTCTGATTTTAGTTGAAGGTTTTCCATTACAAAAAATTTCCAAGGATTGGAGAATATGGTGAGTGTGGTAGCATACCCAAATTAAGCTGCAAAAGCTTTAAGGCTCGCATTAACCTGGTGGAACACTATACTTTTCCTATTGATAATTTCTTCTGATAAACTCTTGTGTAGATAGAAGGATTTGAACGGGCTTATCATTTTTAGGCCATGCTTTCCAGCGGTTTATATTCTAGTAAATAACCAACTTATCATCGCCAGAATCAATGCGCTTCAAAAATGGATCACATCGTTGACGTTTGCTGAGAACATCAGAGTCCTTAATGCGACGAACCAAATTTTATTCTGTAAGAACATGAGAAACCCATATGTCATGCTTCAAAGTTAACTCGAGAGGATTTATATACTTGGAAATGGTCTATTTAGACAAATTTAATCCTTAAGCAATGATGGCTGTCTTCGATTCGATATACTCGCTTTCTTTGCACACGGCTCTCTTGTCACAAAAATGCAAAATATTGATACGTTATTTTTAGTATCTTATTGATTACGATTGACTACTTAAAATTACATATATAATATTACATAAGTCCAACGCTCAGATATAAACCAGTTTTAACCAATATTAAACATAATGTTCACTCTTGTTCCCCAATGACCACATCTTGTGCTACTGTGCGTACTTTCAGTGATAGCGGAAATACAGCCAAACTGATTTTAGCAGTCTAAACAATGATCAAAGTATAGGAGTTTTAAATACCCCAATACCCCAGAAATCACACAACAACTATTTGCTTGTCTTGAAATTCTAACCAAGACTAAAAGACTATAAAAATTCGTTTGCTCATGGTTACGTTTAGTACTTTGACAACAACTACCAAAGTGGTGTGGTAGCCAAGTAAATATAGTGGTTGTCTGACGGCGCTCCTAAGGCTTTGGAAGGTTCTTTGTGAAACCAGATTGACTAAAATAACTTCGCTCTATTCTCTCCTATCAGAACCACCCCGTGCTTCTGAAGAAAATACTGCGCAACCTGCGAAACACAGCTTTCGACGGCTGATGGGTTTTTTTTTTTTTTCTAGTCAAAATTTTACATTCGCATATAAATTGTTTTTTTATGGTCTCTTTCCTGGTTTTTTTCTACCACCTTTCCAATATAACATATGTACATATGTATAATATTGACGGCGCTGATGTCGATTACTGAGCTTTCAATAATTCAATACTTAAATCACAAAGCCCAAAGAAATAATGAATAGGCAATCAAAAATATCCTGTTAGACACACAAACGCAATGCCAACACTTCTCTAGTGAGTATATAAAAACAGTTATTAACCAAATTAGCAATAAATAACGTACAACTAGCAGACAACTGGAACGAAATTCGACTTCAAGTTGCCAAAAAAACAAAACAACAAAAAAAAAAAAAAAAAAAAAAAAAAAAAAAAAAAAAAAAAAAAAAAAAAAAAAAAAAAAAAAAAAAAAAACAACCAAGGAAAATAAAATCAAAGCTATTGATAGCCAAAAAATCAAGGACAACAAATCAAAAGACAACAACTAAAACTGGGGCGCGACACGGTCATTAAGGCGAAATTATGTGACAAGGCGTTTATAGGCCGCATAAGCAGGACAAGAAGAGAGCACACATGGGCATATATGAACTTATATATGTATATAAATAAACATACATATGTACATATGTGTGTATCGGATAACGGTTGAAAAATCCAAGACACAATATTCCAGCAACAAAAACAACAACACTTTAGCTAAACTGAATCGGATGCGCGCACACACCCAACAATAAAAAAATTCAATTGTTTTTTCCTCCATGTTTTGTTTTGTTTTGTTTTTATTTTTATTTTTATTTTTATTATTTTTTTTGGCAGAAAACTAAATGAAATGAAGATAAGTAGGAAAGCGGAGAATAAATGTGTGTGAAGCAAGGCCAACAACAAAGTTTCATATTGCCTGCGAGGCAAGCAACACAACGGCACAGCGGTGCATGAAAGCGGCAACACAGCGATTCGCTACGCGCAACCAACACACATTGTTGCAACGGCCGCACAAAAGCCGACAACTATAAGCTTGCACACAAACGTGTACATATGTATGTATATAGTAACAATTGTTTTTGTATGCTCACCACTATTTTGTAGCACAAGTTGGCGCGTTGTTGCCGCCTTTTAAATAGTTGATTATGAGCTTTTTGCATGCCACAACGCTATTAAATAAGTTGTTCATACCTCGACATACAAGCATATTAATACATCCGCCAACCATATGCATGTCTTGCAACAACACTGTTACGCTGTTATACGCAATGTTGCAAGTTCGTATTTGCCTCGCTATTGACAATAAGCGTCACGTTGCTGCCTTTGCGGGCCACCGCCGCCGCCTTTGAGCGCTGTCAATAGTAATAGCAACAATATTAACAACAATATATTGTGGCATTGTTGCTGCATTAATGCGCCATCAACACATTTTCTCATTCACATGTTGCACGCCAACTGCTTGGCTGTGACGTGGCGTGTCTTCGGCTGCAACTTACTTTCGTTGTGGTTGTTGCTGTTATATTTGCTGGGAATCGGCAACAGCTGGCACAGCTATTCCTCCGTGTTGTCAATCGGCAGATATTTATTTGTATTTATCTTCCCATTTGTCCGCTTTCTTACGATCATCTTCTATGCTTTCTATTGTCCGCCCCACTGCGCTCGCCTCGTGTCATTCTCAGCTGTTTGCATGTTAGTTGGCGGTCAATTTTTGACAGCTGACAGCTGTCAGACACAGAAGATGCTGGCAGATTTTCTCATCGCTGTCATTTAATTTTTCAATTCGCACGAAGCTATTCTGTGGCTTTTTTTCAGAGAAAAGAATATCATCAATTTCTATTACCTTCTTGAAATTGTTATTGTTTGTGATATTTTGAGTATTTTATATGGAATATAGATTTCGGAACTGATTTGGAAAAAAAAAAAAATATTTCAAAACTTGGTGATGCCAAATGATTTTTATTAGACATCAAATTACTTTATTTTGTGAGTTCACTGACAAATTTTATGATTTATAGCAGGAGCAGTGGAGAACGCTACTGCCTTGCATCCTTTTCCTTCCTCATCGAGCAAACTGTGTGAACACTTGAGAACGTGGCAAAAGTCAGAAAACTGTGTTTGTTTTCATTTGAACAATGTTGCCATTGCTCAATACGCAGATATAGTTTTGTACACATTTATGTTTTCAATTACAATTTTTTATAATATAAAATATGAAAACTGAAAATAAACTATATGAGAGAGCAATCAACTGACACGTTTCTACAGCAAAAATCCAAATGCCACGAATTCTCACGTCAACCTACGTCAAATAGAGAAGGGAGTAGCGTTTCTCACTGTCTCCTTACATTGCGCGCCCATAAGATGGGTCGTACCAGCTGACACGGGCCTGATTCTACGTTCTCCACTGTTCCTGCTCTTATGGTTTTGGATTCATATGATCAAATTTGACACGAACTAGCGAAATTTTTTTCATCAAGTCTTTATTATCGCTCTCAAAATAGGCTCTGAAACAGTACAAGCATGCATCACTTAATCCAATTATCCATACTCTTGTTTTAAACCTCGTTAGACCTGTAGGCTACATCTCAACTTCGCTAGACTGTTGGATAATTTCAGCACCATATTCATAAATTCACGTTTTGTTGGAATAATATTTCCTGCAGAACAAATAGTGTGGAATGACTGAGGAAAACATCGGTTGCCTTATATTGCTGTAGAAGAGATATAAGGAAAAGGTGAAACTCTCTGTGGTTTATTCGCCTTGTCGAGGGCGTTCGAAAAGTTACACTCGCTAAGAAACTTGAACGTGTTCGAAGATTGGCTTTCATCGGCTTCTTCTGTACACTGCTACACGACACCAACAAAGCCTCTTTACTCAAAACAACCCTGGACTCCCTGAAAACTTAGATCATTGTGGCACAGAGACTACCCGTGGTGACTTTTCCTTTGCTCAGAAACCGACGAAGGATATATAGAAGACGGATTGATCAAAGCTAGGAGGGGAATTTTGAGGGGTTGCTTTCTGTAAGGATATCTCCATCAATCATAACTTTCGGCTCGTGGACGACTTAAGTATTCTTTCACGCTACAAAGTGCAACCTCATTCAAGGAGTTGGGAATTCACACCGACAGCAGGGTGACAATATCAGCCCTGAAGTCGTTAGATGTGAGCCTAAAGCATCCTTTGTTCCAACACTATGCCAATAGATTTCACGTGCGCTAAGAAGACTTTAGTCGACAACCCGTTTGGAGCCTAAATTAAAACAGGATATCTACTGAACTACTTACTCCTAACCTATGGGGATCACGCTCACACGAACAGAAATAAACCTCAGATCAAATTTTATGGATTCGTTCGACAAGCAGTTTCAATATACCAGTATGGGTCTTTGATCATATGGTCTTCCTATAACCTATAACATAAGATCAAGCTGCTGGAAACTTAGCTGGAAGATCAAAGTGTGGTAGAAGAAGTAATACAGTCTAGTGAGTTTGACATTTCATACTCTATGCATATATCAAATTAGCCCGCTTGGGTCTACAATGATCATTGAGAATACTCAACTTGACTACCTTTAGTTACGTGATGAAATTTATTCGCCCCGTTCAACTAAATATTAGCTTTAAAAAAATTATACACTTAACCTTTCAATAAAAGTAGTACTTAACGAAGAACCGAAGCAAATGATCAAAACAAAATGTGTAAGAAAAAAATATTCGGAATTCTTCGTAAATTGAAATTCAATGTTTCTTGTGTGACTTCGAAATTTGTTGCCGCTTGTCAAAAGTGTTTATATTTTATTTCGTTTTGCACGCTTTTATAATTTCAACACAACTACTACGCAGCAAATAATCATCGAAGACGCTACACCAAAAAAATCAAGCTCAACTCGGACCTTCGCGATACAGAAATCAGCAATCAAATCTGAGAAGTGAAGAAGTGGAGACGAACGGAAAAATTGGCTATCAGCAGCAATAGCAGTACAGCGGACGGCAGACAATATGTCAAAGAATTATATTTCAAAGGAAGAGGCTATCAATCAGTTGTATGCCACAATCAAGACGAAATTCGAACAAGACGGTGTGTTACAGGAAGTGCGTTGCATGTTGCAAACCAAAATGGTAGCCATGATGAAAGGTAAGAATGATGGTCAAACGACATTACTGGGGCGTAAACTACCCGACTTAAGTAAGCTGAGCGCCAGCAGTAGTTTACCAACGTCTAGCGAGATAGATGATACGGAACAACGACAAGATCCACGTTTAAAGATGATGCAACAGCTGATCATGGAGTACTTTCATTGGCATGGCTTTCACTACACAGCCGAAATGTTCGCACAGGAAAGTGGCACGGAGAATGTGCGACCGTCGCGTCAGCAACTTGAACGTGCGGTCGGGCCGTTTGAGCATAAAAGTCTTCCCATACTACTGGAGTTGGTGGCCGAACTTATGGAGAAAAATCAGCCTTAGAGACAGCGAGAGAGAGAGAGACAGTTGTGGTATAGCGAAAGAGTTTGTATGGAAAGTTGGAAACAGGAAGGAGATTTTTGCATTAAGAGACCATTTCTTAGCTTCAGTGCAGCTTAATAGCTTCACACGTATACATATGTAAATCTACATAATTACTAAATAAAGCGATAGATATACGCTAACCTTAGGCACTGCGCTCATGGTATAATTATTCGTTCTTCAAGTGCAAGTGATATCAAGTCCACATAGATTTAATCATAGTGTCTTTCCACTAGTAAAGTATGTATATGTTTAAAGTTTAAGAGAAAGTTTTTACTATGTAGTAAGTGTAAGAGCAGGAAAATTCTAAACCTCAAGAAGATTATTGTCGAGCTTACAATTTATTGGAGCCATTATCTTTTCTTTTACTATGACATGGTAGTATTCATCTCATTCTTAGAAATTATTAATGGTAATCTTATTTGAGATCTCATGTGGGTCTGCCGTTCTACAAGAGACTAACCATATGGAGAGAAGCGAATATAAATTTTGTTACCGTAAAATTAATTTTAAACCAGATTTGGTACGAGGGATTATAGTATCGAGGAAGACATGTGGGCAATAAATTTGTTAAAAGTGGATGTGGCATATGTCTCGGATCTATCGCACGCTAATCGTACTGAGGAGCATATCGCTGGCGAAGTGAAATTCTTGAAACGTAATAACGACTCGACGCTAACATGAGTAAAGGAAGCGGCCAGAATGCTTTCATACCTGAGGAAAGAAGGAAACTGGAGGTAGTGGACCGCAGCAGTATTCCATCGGTGTCCAGAGCAAAAGTAAACATACCTCGCATGATCGACCCGGAACATGCTCTGTGACTGCTGCAATGACACTATTTGGACGTGCCGACTAGCGACTGGAGGGTGTTAAACGTGGCGAAACCAGTCAACGCATATGGAAGTCAAAGCTACATCCTCTAGAGCAATAAGACGGCAAAGGATATTATGTACGTGAAGTACAGAAGCGAGGTTAAGAAGCGCCACCCCGTGGAGGGCAACAAAAACACGTTGTAGATGGATGAAAGGGGAAATTATTTCGGCACTTAAGGATCACTTGGCCTATAAGAGGTAGAGGTGCAGAAAGAAGCCAGTCAGCAGTCTGATGCTACAAAACCAAGAGCTGAGGGTACTCCAAGTGAACCTCCACAAAAGTAAGTTCGCCTCTGCTGTGTGTCTTCTCAACTTAGAGAAGAGCGACTACGACGAGGCTTTATGTGAACCACTATTGTCATATGGCTGATTTTGTACCGAACAAATTGGCAAATCTGTGAGTTCCAGCATTGAAATACGGCGAGAATATTTTTTGATGACCAAATGTCATTGCGCCAAAAATGAGTGAAAACGTATCAATACTATGGTTTTTCAAAGGTAGATATTTTAATTGCCTATGCATTTTCCTTGTTTCCATAAGACATGAAGTTTTGCCGAATCGTTTATAACCTTTTAAAAACCCTTCCCTCCATCTTCCTGGCCTCAGATCGCTCGAAAATTATTTTTCCTTTCATTTTTATTATTTTATATCTTTTTCAATGCGTTTCTTCTTACTACGATTTCTTTACGTTCAAAAATTACCTACCCTGGCCTAAAAAAGTTCATTTGCGAACAAATATTCCAAACAGTCACTGCAATAAGTATTCATACATAGCTGTTTGGGATAACAACATATGTACAGCTCATAAGACTCATAAGCATATACCATACATACATATGTATGTCGGTCCACAAATACACGCTATGCCAGGTATAATTATCGAAATGCATTGCCTTGTACAATCTACAACACCCGGGGTTCTCAATTCGCAGAATAGCAACAACACGCCACTTAATTTAATTTCGCCAAATTTTTACCTTTCTCCAGTGAAAAATTTGTGGCGCAGAAAATGATAGTTGTAAACGAACTTAACAGCAATAAAATAACAAATTACAGTAGAAAAATATTTCCCCCTTCCCCCACCTTCACCTCCCTGGCCTACACGAATCGTCAAGGCGCAGAGATTTGCAACATGCAAATGCAATGCGGCAACAAGTTTGTTGATTTTACAAGCAAAAACAACAAAACTATCAGCTTGGATAATGAGACAGCGAGACGGTGGCATGCAACAATGGTCAAGTGGTTTACATAGATAAATAAATATGTGTGTTGTGCTGGCATGAAAACGCCAAAAAGAGCAACAAAGCCAGCATTTTCGGGTAAGGCGAGTGAAAAGTCACAACAACAACAACAACAACAACAACGAAGTGTGCACAAAAAGAGAAATGTGCGCTCGCGACATATCAGCTAACAACGATCGACAGGTAGCGCCTGTGGCATGAAAATGTTGCACATCACGGCAATTACATTTATCGCTGCCATTACTTTTCATACTCTTCCAACGTAGCAATTGTTGTTGCCGCATTTTTACCTGTACTACTAGCAGTTCGACGGCTAACGATGCCCGACGATGAAGGCGAATCGTGATTTCGGTATTAGCCGCAGAAAAAATGCGCCGAAAGAAGCGAGAATTTGCCAAAAAGTATTCGAAAATAAGGCGCGAGACAATGCAACGGCGGGCATGTTGCAACAACCGCCACAACACCACAAAAAGTGTCGCCGCCGGCCATTCGAAACTTAAAAAAGGCGTGTTCGTGGTGTTACAAATGTACTAGTGCAAATGCTGCCACTTATTTGTAACAAAAATTCGTTTTTTTATATTTTTTTAATTAAAAAAAAATCAGTGCCCTTTTATTTGTTGTCGGAGCCCACAGCGCCGCCGAAACAGTGTGTCCACTTCGCGCTTGTCAGTTGGCAGCTGTGGCGTTGTGGCATGTAACATGTCGTTGTACACACAAATAGCGCGCGGACCTTTACTGCTAAATGTGGCATGTTGCATGCCACCCAAAAACGCGCGCCGCCAACATACTGGCTGACAGCTGCGCAGGCGCTTTTTATGCCAACCACTGCGTCAACTAGAAGGGCACTGCCATGCGGCCAGCTGGTGATCAAAGCTCGTGTGGCACGCAAGCGTCCTCAACAAGCGCCCGCCCAGTGCGATTAGCTCTGATTGCGCGCGGGCGGACAGCCAGACAGCGTGTGCGCCAGCTGACGGCAATGATTTTCCAGCGTTTACTTAAATCTCCGCCGTCATAATTACCTGGTGTCCTCCACGGCTGCTGCCACGCCAATTGTCTGCGACAAAAGTCACTCGCAACATGCAAGAACGCCCGCAAATAATCAATCGCCTGATGTTGCAAGCGCATAGCAATAATTTGTTAACGCCGTACAACTGGCAAAACAAACAAAAACTTGCAACAACAACAACACAGCACATTGCTTGACACCCACAATGGTGCATTTAAAGTGGTGCAACATGAATCTCTGTGTGCGCATATTTTTCCACTTTGATTTATTGCTGTGAAAACTGTCTCGCGCTTAAACGCTTCTCGAAATGCCGCTAAGCTGACGCGGATTGACAATATGGCAGGCGGTCGAGTGAGCGCGCCCAAAGTGGAGATGAAACCATTCACCGTCCCTGCCGTTGCTATTGTGGGGCTACACCAGCTGCCTAAGCATAAGCATACAGCATTTCCTTGCTTCCTTGCTGCGCCAAGATGTTGCACGTAGTATTTACAAGACTGCGCCACGCCGTACGGACCGTTTAACCCACGCAGCGTTTGGCGCGCAGATGTGGGTGTGCCCATTTGTTGTAAATGTTGCAGCAAATGTTTCCAGCCATTCTTCTACTTCTGCTCCTGCCGGTCACTCGTTTTGGCAATTTTACATGTCGAAATTTGCACTCATTGTCATTCAGTGTTGCAAGTTATTGCCGACGCATTGTGTCTGTATGTGCGTAGACAAGCGTGCGTCACTMACGTGCAACAGACCGTTGTTCCAGCCTTGCAATACGATTTACTTAACGCCTTCACGCAACTGATCTGGACATGCTTTTGTAGGCAACACGTGCGTTTGAAAGGAGAAAACTGTGCAATAAATCCAAGGGCTTAAGCTCCTACAAAGCGCATGCTGGGTCGAATCCATCAGCTGCGGCGTAATTTTTAGAAAATTATGTTATCGCACAATTACCAATCAGCCTGCGATTCACTGCAACCCATAAAGTCATAGTATTCATGCCACAGACAGATGCTTCAAATCTCGAGACGAGAAAGTAATACTGCAAGATATTTCTTAGAGGCATCAGTTCTTATAACCCCAGTTTCATTATGTGCTTTAACTAAAATCGTTTTTAAGCACCCTTTGTCAAGCTTATTACGTTCTGGTATTGACCCCATTCATGCTGAAAGCAACTAAAACCTGTATTCAAAGTATAGATCGTACGCAATAAGCTTAGCGAGAAATGTACTTACGAAAAAATTAGAAAAACTGCTAGAGTCACTGAAAGTTATAGCTTAAGTTAGGGCGATTGGAACCTTAGAGTGCTCTGCTCAATCTACAGAAAGTGGGACGCTACAATCTGCGCCAACTACCGTGTGATAAGAATTCTTAATATCGCTTATAAGGTTCTATCGAGCGCACTGTGTGAAAGACTAGTGTGGCCTTAGGACTGGAAAATCAACAACTGACCCGATACCACCTTTTCGATGATTTCAAAGTTCCCGACCTAAAACCTCTGCACTGCTGTGGGTGCGGCACCCGACCGCAGTGCGACTCCATACTGAACCGAATTTTCAAAGCTACCTGCTTTAGGTTTAAATCGCAGCCACCACAAATATCCTCAAAGGACCAAACTCAATGAACAGAGCGAATTAAAAGACAGCGGCAGCTAGGTCATGTTGTCCGTATGGAAAGAACGCTCCACCTTTGAAGGTTTTCGCTTCGGTAGGGAAAAACTCCGTTGAAAAGGACAGGTAGAGAAGGACCTGGCTGCACTTGGTGTCCCAAATTGGCGCCAAATAGCAAAAAGAAGAAACGACTTGCGCCCAGATATTATTTCGGCTAAAACCGCGTCAGCCGGTGTCAACGCAAATAAAGAAAAAGAAGAATAAAGTTGATAATCCGCCTGGTTAATAGAAGGTACCGAGTTGCTACACTTTTACTCTAGCTAAACATGGATAGTGGAAGAGAAACTGTATAGCTGTTTCCATCTCACCTCCATTTTCCTAGACTCACGGCATGAGCATCAA